GCAAATCATGGAAATCTCATAAATATTAGAACAAACTCAACTGAGCAGAAAACTAGAAAAATTAAATGTGGGTTGTTGAACATTAGATCCATTTTTTCGAAGACTTTGTTAGTTAATGACTTGATTTGTGATCATCACATTTCTTTGCTCTCTCTCACAGAATCCTGGCTGCAGCAAGAGGACTATGTTAGCTTAAACGAGTCGACTCCTTCAAATTATTTAAATCATCATATTGCTCGAAGTACAGGGCGAGGAGGAGGAGTAGCAACCATTTTTCATTCAGACTTATTAATCAGTCCCTTACAGATTAATAGCTACAGTTCGTTCGAACATCCTATTCTTAGTTTTCCTAATCCAGATTGCAAAACTGTAAAACCACTCTTGTTTGTAGTTTTGTATCGTCCACCAGGCCCTTACTCTGAGTTTTTGGATCAGATCTCAGATTTTTTATCAGATTTGGTGCTAAATACTGATAAGGTCATTGTAGTGGGGGATTTCAACATTCATGTGGACATTGAAAATGATTGCCTCAATGTAGCCTTTAGTAATATCTTAGACTCAATTGGTTTTACTCAAAGAATACATAGCTCCACCCACTCCTGCCATCATACATTGGACCTTGTTCTGACTTATGGCATAGAGTGTGAGGAAATACCAATATTTCCACATAATCCAGTCCTCTCGGACCACTTTCTGATAACCTTTGAGTTTTTTATAACTGAGTTCTCGAGACATGAAAATAAATTTCATCATAGTCTGTCTCTATCTGACAACGCAGTTGCATCTTTTAAATCAACTGTTCTATCTTTACTGTCCTCAGCATCTCAGAGGAACGTAGCAGAGGGCAATATTTTCAGTTCTAGCCCCTCACAAATTGATGCCTTAGTTCATCATGTTAATTCCTCTTTACGTGTGGCATTAAATGATGTTGCCCCTTTAAAAAGGAAGGTAATTAGGGACAGGAAGTTGGCTCCCTGGTTTAATTCTCATTTCCGAGCCTTAAAACAAAACTCTAGGAAATTGGAGAGAACATGGCGCTCTACGCACCATGAGGAGGCCTACCTATCCTGGAAAAATAGTCTTGTGCTTTATAAAAATAAGCTTCGACAAACTAGAACTGCTTATTTTTCAGCATTAATTGAGGAGAATAAGCATAATCCTAAATTTCTTTTCAGTACAGTTGCTAAACTTACACAGAATCATAGCTCTGAGCCATCTATTCCCTTAGCCCTCAGCAGCAATGACTTCATGGGATTTTTTACAAGTAAAATTAATTCTATTAGAAACAAAATCTTTAGCATCCTCCCTAATGCGATTTCTTCTTCCTCAGTAAGTGAGGCAACATCAGAGGTAACTGTAGAACCTCATCTGTGCTTGAACCGTTTTGATCATCGACATTAATATTATGGACATCTTCTTTCCATAGGCTCCAATATCAGTTTTTTTAGGCCAAATGGGAGGTGGCCACCACCGCCGATTTGACAGTGTCACAGGTTCCGTCAAGCCCAGACAATTCCAAAAAAGGGAAGAGAGGAGGAGCTGAGGTTGGGGCTGTAAGACTGGGATCGACTGATGACACCCGGTCGAACTAGCTACAAGCTAACCTGAAGCTAACCCAAAGCTAATGCGGAGGTGGGAGCTAAGCTAACGGAGGTAGCAACCTAGCTACAACCGGAGTTAACTGTGCACAACACCAGAGCTTCTGAGTCAGAGATACGCCGGGCTGACCGCTGGGTAAAACCGGGTGGAACACAGAGGTCTCCGAGACTAGGTCTTGGAGACCTCCACAAGCAGGGCAGCCGCACAGCACACGGAAGCCGCGATCAGACAGATACGCCGAGCTGCTGGGAGAACCAGCCGTCAGCCCGCGCAGCTAAGGAGCTGTGATCAGAGATGGACCGGGCTGCGGGGAAGGGAGAACCGAGTGGAACACAGAGGTCTCTCGAGAGCTCCACAAGCCTGATGGTCGGAACCCAGCTCCACCAACATGTTATATTTCAAACCATTTTCTAAAGTGCAGCATTATGTTAAATGCACTGGGTTTTACCCTATTACATTTAAATTTCATGGTTAAACAGTACATCTTAAAATCTAAGCTCAGCTCGGCAGTGACCTAAAATACATAAATATAATTTTACTTACAGAAAAAAATGAAGTGGAGACTCCTTGGACGCTCTATTAGTGCAATTAATGCCACAGCAAGTCATTTTGTCCAACAATTGCACAAATAATATCCAAAACAGAATACACACACACAGAGACTCAAAATCCTGGAACAGTTTCCAAGCCAGACCGAGGCTCTACTGAGGCCTTTCCCCGGAGCTAGCTCTGTGGTAACGTGGGTCTGATGCTCATTAATTATAAAGAATTTTAGGCTTTTAATACACTTAAACAGAAGAGTGAGAAAATAATTCACCCCCTCAGAGTTGTCATGAGTGTAAACTAGATCATTTAAACAAAAACATGTTCTGGTACCAGGCTGTAAACATGTTTATTTCTGCTGTGAAATTGGTATTTTTAACATGGGAGTCCATGGGGATTTGCTCGCTTCTGATACCAGCCCCCAGCGGGTGAGGGTGGAACTGCAATTTTTGTACTTCCGGGTTTGACTCCATTTTAAAGCCTCATTGTGGGGGCTTGGTTTTGATCCAGTTGAGCTTTCAGAGTTATCAAAAATATTAGCTTCATCTAAACCTTCAACTTGCATTTTGGATCCAATCCCAACTAAATTATTTAAAGATGCATTTCCTTTGGTTACTGCCCCCATTCTAGATATAATCGATCTATCCTTAGTAAATGGGTATGTACCACAGGATTTTAAGGTTGCTGTTATCAAACCTTTACTTAAGAAACCTTCTCTGGCTCCAGATGATCCAATGAATTATAGACCAATATCTAACCTTCCATTTTTATCCTAAGTCCTGGAGAAAATAGTGGCCATCCAAGTATGTGAGCATTTAAACACTAATGCTCTGTTTGAGGAATTTCAGTCTGGTTTTAGAGTATCACAGCACTGAAACTGCATTGGTGAGAGTTACAAATGATATTCTCATGGCCTCAGATAAGAATCTTGTGTCTGTTCTAGTCTTGTTAGATCTCAGTGCTGCCTTTGACACAATTGATCACAATGTTCTTTTAGAAAGACTTGAACATGTTGTAGGGATCAAAGGAACAGCGCTAGGCTGGTTTTAATTCCTACCTGTCTGACAGATTTCATTTTGTAAATGTACATGACAAATCGTCTTCATACTCCAGGGTTACTTGTGGAGTACCACAGGGTTCAGTGCTTGGAACAATTCTTTTTACTATATATATGCTCCCAATTGGTAAAATCATTAGACAGCATGGGATAAACTTCCATTGTTATGCTGACGATACTCAGTTATATTTATCCATTAACCCTGATGAACCTAATCGGTTGGGTAGATTACAGGCTTGTCTTGAGGACATAAAAAATTGGATGACTCTAAACTTTTTGCTTTTAAATCAAGACAAGACAGAAGTTCTCATCTTTGGACCAGAAATCCAGAAAAGGAAATTGCTTAGCCAATCGCCTGACCTGAATGGCATTACATTAATCTCCGAGAACAAAGTAAGGAACCTTGGTGTTATCTTTGACCAGGACATGTCATTCAAATCCCAGGTTAAACAGGTTTGTAGGATTTCCTTTTTCCACCTTCGGAATATTGCTAAGATTAGAAGCATCCTTTCCAGGAGTGATGCTGAAAAACTAGTTCATGCATTTATTACATCAAGACTGGATTACTGTAATCCATTACTCTCAGGAAGTCCACAGAATGTAGTTAAAAGTCTTCAGCTTGTCCAAAATGCTGCAGCTAGAGTTCTGATGAGAATTAAAAAGAGAGATCATATCTCTCCTGTCTTAGCTTCCCTACATTGGCTACCTGTTAAATTCAGAATAGATTTTAAGATCCTTCTTCTCACATATAAAGCTCCAATCATTTCAGATTGGTATCTTGAACATGACAATGAGTTCACTACTACAACGGCCCCCACAGTCACCAGATCTCAACCCGATAGAGCATCTTTGGGATGTGGTGGAACGGGAGCTTCGTGGCCTGGATGTGCATCCCACACATCTCCATCAGCTGCAAGATGCTACCCTATCAGCATGGGTCAACATTTCTTAAGAAGCTTTCAGCACCTTGTTGAATCAATGCCACGTAGATTTAAGGCAGTTCTGAAGGCAAAAGGGGGTCAAACACCGTATTAGTGTGGTGTTCCTGGTAATCCTTTAGGTAAGTGTATGATCATGAAGACCTTTTACTGTGCCTTCCTGGAAAGCATCATAACCTACTCCTTCACTTGCTTGTTCTACTCCCTCAACCTCCAGATCAGGAACAGACTGCAGCACACTGCATCAGTGTGCTCCAAAATCGTTGGTCTGCCTGTCAGAACTCTTGCTCATGTTTTCTATCAACAAGCCTCGAGACAGGAAACCAAAATCTTCCACAACCCCTCTCACATTCTTCAGCCCGCATTTCTGGGCGACGCCTCCGCTGCATTTCCTGCAGGACTGAGAGGAGGAGGGCCACCTTTGTCCCCAAAGCCATTCTGCTCTTTAACTCCAGCAGATAAAATAAGACCATCCCCCCGTAAACCCTCTCCTTGGACTCTCCATATATTTAATTTTTATACACCCGACACTTTAGTCACTTTATTCACTTACCCAGTGATTATTTTTTACTGACTTTATTCATCTTCGTTGTTGCATTTAACTTTTTGCTTGCATATTTCACTGATTTTACCCATCTTCTTGCTGCTTTATTACTTTTCTTATTGCCTATTTAATCAGTGTTTGCATGTCCAACGTCATGCTGCTCTGCTGTTACTTTTTAATTGCCCCTCGGGGATAAATAAAGCTTTTCTGATTCTGATGATACGTACATCTATGTATGCAAAAGTTGTGTCATTAAAAGACTGAATTTTATTGCCAATACCTGCCACTATTATTGATACCTTCAATGCTTCTTTTCCAGGTGTTGTTGATGTCACCCTGACCGCCGAGGCTGTGCGTTCCTCTACTCACTGTTGTGATGAAGAAGTGCGCGTGCCAGAAAGAGGTCGTACTGCAACGGAAACACAGACTCTCGTAGTAAAGGTCGGTGCCTGCTGTGGCTCTCTTCAGAAATGCTTCTATCCCTTCATTACGCACAGATTTTGTGACAGTCATGTGATCTAAAAGCCTCAGAATGACTATTAACCTGGATCACAATGAACCGTTTCCCCCCCGAATCCACTTCGTGTGTAACACATTTAATCATTTTACTGATAAAGTTGACTCTGACATTATATCATGTCTAATCTCTGCTTAAGGATGTTGGAGCTGAGATAATAAGGACACAAAGCTGGCTCGTCTGCCCAAAAGGTCAGTATTTTACATGTAAAAAAAAATGGGTTCATTGTTAAGGAAGTGGGGATGAGAGATGTAGATCTGAAGATTAGGAGTCGTCCAGGAAATCACGGGATGGGAGGCTAGAAAAGATCCCACCAGTGTACGACCTCCAAAAAGCATTGTTCTCTGAGACTTCTGTTACGGAGAAGTGCTCGTGAGACAGATGGCTCCAGGGCCAGAGCAGCTGTTACTGACTTCATGTGAAGCCTCCACAGATGGAGGTAAGGGTCTGAGTTAGAGAACCTTGTTCTCTTAAACCGTAGAGATGACCCATCCTCTTTTAAAGGTGTTCACTTCATAGCATTTTCTATGAAGAAAGACTCATTTTTAGATATTTCATGCAGTGATCCAGTAACACAAAAGTTTTATTTTTAATTTTAGAGTTGTTTTTCATCTTTGCGTTTCTGTGTTTGAGGGCTTTGCTTCTCTCTGTCTTCAGGACAACATCTAAGAAAGAAAGTTCATTTACCAATGCCTTCCGATGCGATTGATGGCTCTTCCAGGACTGAAGTCTCCGTCTCAGGTAAGCGTCTGAATCTGTCTGAAACCAAAGATGTGACTGGTTTCCTGCTCAAGTGTAGTAAGTCTGTGTTTGTGCAGGTGACGTTCTCAGCCAGCGTCTGAAGAACCTGGACAGCCTTCTCCGGTTGCCATATGGCTGCGGGGAGCAAAACATTGCTATCATGGCGATGGACACCAGCATCCTCCTTTACTTCCATAGCATTGGCCATCTCTGCAAGGAAACCAGGAGAAAGGGAACCTACCTCTTGACAAGTGGTAAATCCCATTCTGATTTATAATGTCTGAAGTTTAGAGCTTGTAAAACTCAGTTAAAACAGTAGAAAGCCTCTTGGGTCAGGGACAACGTTATAATCTGCATGGTGTGTGTTGAGGTGTCTCTGTTTGTGTCCAGGCTACCAGAGACAGCTTATCTACAAGGATAAGAAAGGAACATTCAGCACATTTGGATCGGGACCACCAAACACTTGGTAAGAAGGTTGTTGATGGGAAGTGGCTGTGGTTCCAGAAGAAGCTCGCTTGTGTGATAAGCAGAAAGTTGAAGGCTTGTATCAGCTTCCTTCTTCACACGTCACACATATCTGAGTGTGAATGGGTGAATGTCACCTACAGGGTAGACACCCTGTATCAGAAATGTCAAGGACCACACTGTGATGTGATATTTGATCACTGTTAATCGTTGTTATTGCTGTATACGGACTTATCTTGCTGCCTGAATAGGAGGCACACTCTGACGCCTGATAATATGACATTTTTATCAGCAGGACGAGGGTAGGATGGGTCGGTTTGGTCCTTTTAGTGTGCGTAGGGTTCAGTGCAGAGACTAGCGTTTGCTGAACAGTGACTTTCATGATTTGACCAGGTTTATTTTTCTAAACATGATTATTTTCGTGGCACTGACCCTTGTGGAGATGTTTGATACCAATGGCATTTTTTTTGCGAAACAGCTTTTAAACAGAACACCAAAAGACTTTACAGGTTTATTTAGGATCTCAGAGCAAAACTTGATTACTACTAAGATGACCTCATGTACAAAGAGTGTGTATGCACAAAAACATGACAAATGCCATTTACCGCTGAAAACCTCAGATGTATCCCTAATGAAACAACTGAGTAGAGATCCTCTCGGCTTCACGGCTGGTTTCTTTTTGTACATTTATGTCTCACACAATCTAATGACTGCTGATGCAGGAAAATGGTCTGTCATGGTTCTGCTTGACCTCAGTGCAGCTTTGAAACAGTGGACCACAACATCTAATTGAACCAGCTAAATGTTCTGGCTGGAATCGCTGTTCTGCTGTAGACTGGCTCTCCTATGATATTTCCAACAGAACTCTCTGTGAAGACAGAAACCTTCTCCTCGGTAGAGCCCTGCACTGAAGCCCTAGGCCCTCGGGTCGGCCCGGCCCGACGGCCCGAGGGCCGGGCTTCGGGCCAACGACTGTGCAATTACCTCGGACACGGGCCGGGCTGGGCGCCTTTATTTTTAATCGAAATCATTAAAAAATTTTAAAACACTTACACGCAGCAGTAGAGCCCTGCGCGGGACTGTTTTCTTCATCCCGCTCCTGCCCGCTCCCGCTGAATTTCTGACCATTACCGCCTGCAACCGCAACGTGTGTTACACTCCCGCCCGCACCTGCAGCGTGCATGTCTACTCCCGCCCGCAACCGCAAAACTCTGAGAAATTATTACCTCACAATAAAAGAGATGTACTGAGTTTGCGTCCTCAACGTGTCATTTTATAGGTTATCCGCTTTCACCGCAGCGCTCCGTTTCAATCAGGCTGTACAGCAGGATTTCCCCTCGTAGCAATATTTTCTCTAACTCTGATTGCTTCATGCTATAGACCGTTGGAAAGCTGCTTTTATGTACTTTTAGGAACCGTTGGAATTATTTGAATCTGATCAGCCATTCAAAAGTTATAAAACGGAGCATTTTGGATGACAAACTCGCACGTCTCTGAATCTGTGTTGTGATTCGTTGCGCTCAAGACAGGAAATCCCGGTGGCTACCGTAATGTACTGTATATGCACGGAAAGCCCCATTTTAATCTTTTCAGCACTTTTGGAATTTTAATGATATCTTGAACTAGAGCAGGGATCGGCAACCCGCGGCTCTTCCATCCATCTGATGCAGCTCTCTGTGCTTGTAAAATAATGAATGGATATTTAAATAAAATGCTTTATATTTTACTGAATTAATTTTATATCTGTAAGTCAATTCTATGTGAAGATTGTCTGCGTAAACCTGAACAGGTCCAACCCAGTCTTACTGTGAGTCCGTGTTGGGTCACGCTTGTGCGTAATCATATGCGCTTATATGAGCTGAAGAGGATGTGAGATTCTGGGCTTCTCCTCAGACGGCTCCTGGATGTGTCGCCACATTGGAGACAGGAACAAGCGCTATTCAGCCAAAGTTTCATCATCAGGGAGCATTTTCTAAGTGACAAGTCTCTCTGAGAGACAGGGTTTGGAAAACACTCGCTTCAGTGGGAGGAATCTTCCCGCGTGCGCTTCTGCGACGCTCGGATCCTGCACGTCTTTTAACACATTGGTCAGGATTGACGCACTTTGTTTTCATTTAGTTGGCTAAAAAAAAGTCGGCTCGGGCCGGCCAGAGAATCCTGAAAACCTTTTCAGGCTGGGTCGGGCTGGGGCTCCACCCCCTCGGGCCGGGCCGGACACGGGCTCAGATTTAAGGCCCGTGCAGGGCTCTACTCCTCGGTCACTGCTCCCATGGCTTGTGGGGTTCCACAAGGCTCAGTACTGAGACCTCTATTATTTTCCTTCCACATCCATCCTTTAGCTACTATCATCCAGTCTGTCCTGCACATCTCATATCACTTCTATTCTGACATTCAGCTCTGCCTGTTCTTCAAGCCTCACCAGTTGGACAAACTGGCCACCCTTGTTCTGTGTCTGACACACATCAGTAATTAGCTTCAGCAACTTCCTTGTCCTTAATGCCAACAAGACAGAGACCCTGACTGCTGCACCACCTGAACTTCATCCTAATATTGATAAGGCTGCTGCTGCCTTTTGCTCATCAGCTAAGCCTAGCGTACAACACCTATGAGTTATCCTTGGTTCTGCTTTAAGCTTCAACACATCAAATCTTTCTCCCATTCCTGCTAATTTCACTTAAGAAACATCTCAAAAATCCTTAAGATGGTTTCAAACACAGATCTTGGGGGAAATAACCCATGGCTTTGTTTCATCACGTTTGGATTACTGTAATGCTCTTTTTACTGGCCTGGACAAATCGTACCTTTCACGCCTTCAAGCCATTCGGATAGCAGGAGCCAGGCCCCTAACAAAATCCAACAAGCGCACTGACATCTCCACACTGGCTCCCTGTAGAACGTAGAATCCATTTTAAGTGTCTGTGCTTACCTTCAGAGCTCTGAAGGGCCAGGCACCTGACAGCCTGTCTCATCTTCGATCTCCACATACGGCCTCACACAGCCTCCGTTCCACAAACATGCTAGCTGTTCTGCACACATGGCTCCTAGACTGTAGAACAGCCTGCACCTCAAACTCTGTCCCTCAGAATCTGCTGATGTTTTAAAAAACATTAGAAAACCTACCTGTCCATCTCTCTTTAAATTGCGTGTAAAACTTTTGGCTTTGTTTGTTCCATCCTTACTATTATTTTTAATTCTGTCACATTCCTCCTGCTTCTGATGACTGATTTTAATGCTATTTTTGATTTTCATATTACAGCATTATTTGGATATTTTCGTTGTGTACAACATTCCATCCAGTTTTTACCCATGGTGTACAGCAGAAAGTATTCAGATTTGTATGCCTAATGCAAGGGAAGCAGACCGTTTCTGCAGCTCCTGATGTACTACATTTGTGTGTGTTTGATTGTGTGTTTTACCTTGACTTTGTGTTTTCTTTTCTGTTTCATGTTCTTCTTCCTCAGGCTGACCGCCTTTGTTATGGCAACTCTATACAACGCTCAAGCTTTCATCTACATCGATCCAAAAGTCATTGAGGAGTCTAGGAAGTGGCTGGAATGCCAGCAACTTAAAAGTGGCTGTTTCAAAATGTCTGGAAAATTCTTCAACGATAGAATCAGGGTGAGCTTAAGCGTTTTGTAGTTTATGCAGTACCACTTCTCATCTGGATGACAGAAGTGCTCACATGTGCTACGGGTGTCCGAGTTGCTGACGAGTGTTTTTTGTTTTTTTTAATGAAGGGTGAGGTGTCCGATGAAGTCACACTTACTGCTTATGTCACTGCTGCCTTCTTGGAGACAAATATATCTGCACATGTAAGTACATGTTGTTATTTTGTACATTGAACTAATCAGATGCACATACCACTGACTAGCACTGCAGAACCTTTAGGCTCCTGGCATGAAAATGTCACACACCTCAACAGGGAAAATAAACAAGATTTAAAGCCACTTTCGTTTCAGGGCTCTGTCATTTTAAAGGTACAATGAGTAAGAATTTTACAGTGAAATAATCACTGTAGCATGTGTCACCTACCGGACCAAACCATCCCACACACCGTCGCGATTTACAACCGTTTTCTAGACACACAGCCTCCGGCCTCTGCCCTCGGTGGTCTTTTGTTCAGTTCATGCTTCAGTCATGTTGGAAGGAAGGTTACATTAAAACTGACTTCCTCCTCGGCCAGCTGGGGGGTCAAAAATGCTCAAGTAGTCTTTGTTTACATTCTGTGAGCCCGTAGGGTTCTCCTGCATGTTCTTTTCTGATTTTTTTCATGACGACGTAAACGGAGACTTTTTGAAACGTCTTGTTTTAGGCTTGTTTAGGCATTTAATTCCTAAAACCAAACTCTGACAGAACACTCGTGGATGTTTTTTTTCACGTTTGGTCAGAAAAGATAAAACATCTAACTCATATTTTTTAAAATAGATCAAATTGATGGAATAATTGCATAAGTACTTGTGAGACTTTTAGATCTACTTATGTTCTGTTTCACCAAACCTTCCACAAATATCAACAGCCCATCGAGGAAATACCCATATTCATTTAGCAGGTTTTTCTTCATTTTAGAACCTAAAAATAGGAACAAAAGGGTGTTTTGTTCTTTTTTCAAAAAATGACATCAGATCTCATATAACAGTTCAATCCAGCTTTATTTATAGAGCGCCAAATCATGACAAGTGTTGTCTCAAGACATAATAAACATTCCTATTCAGGTCAGTTCATTACGCCAATCAGTAAAATGTTTCCTATATGAGGAACCCAGCAGGTTGCATCGAGTCACTGACTAGTGTCAGAGTCTTTACAGCAATCCTCATACTAAGCAAGCATAAAGCGACAGTGGAGAGGAAAACTCCCTTTTAACAGGAAGAAACCTCCAGAGAATCCTGGCTCAGTATAAGCAGCCATCCTCCACGACTCACTGGGGATGGAGAAGACAGAGCAGACACACACACACACACACACACACACACACACACACACACACACACACACACGCACGCACGCACGCACACACACACACACACACACACACACACAGACACACACACACACACACACACACACACACCAAGTAATGCTGTGATGTCTTAGTAAATATTCTATTTGTTGAGAGATAAACTTTATTGTATTTATCCTAGTGGATCTATAATTAAACAGGTAAACTAGTAGTAGCACGTCCAACATCAATGAAAGTAAAAAGTTATTATCAGGAGAGGGAGAATGTTTTAGTGGTTAGCAGCAGTGTGTTAGACGATGGCCCCCTCCATGAGGCCACCACAGCTCAGCAGAACATCGTTGTAGCTTCTTCTGGGGAGAAAAACACTTAGAGAGAAAATAAAGTTAACAGCTGAAATAGCAGGAAATAATACAGTTAAAGAGCAGACTGTAGAAGAAAGCAGTAGAGTGTGGAAAGTGGTCAGTGTATCCTCCAGCAGTCTAAGCCTATAGCAGCATAACTACAGAGATAACTCTGGATAACCTATCCTATTTAGATGGAGGCATGTTGGAGGCAGGGCAAGGGAGAGCCGTCTTTACCGACTGTACACTCCACCTCCCTGTAATCCCCCACTTGTCCAGATATAGGCTAAAATCAGATTTTAACCATAGGCCCTATCAAATAAAAATGTTTTAGGCCTAGTCTTAAAAGTAGACAAGGTGTCTGCCTCAAAGCTGGGAGCTGGTTCCACAGGAGAGGAGCCTGATAACTAAAAGATCTGCCTCCCATCCTAATTTTAGATATTCTGGGAACCACCAGTAAACCTGCAGTCTGAGAGCGAAGTGCTCGGTTAGGAACGTATGGAACAATCAGATCACTGATGTATGATGGACCTTGATTATTAAGAGCTTTATATGTGAGAAGAAGGATCTTAAAATCAGGTCAAATAAAGTGAAAATAGTATTTGTGACCTCAGAAAAAAATCAGAATCGCTCAATATTCTCAGAAATTGGAAAGAAAGTAAAACGTTTTCGTAGCCCTGATCCTCTTTCATGGATATTTATCAAAAATTATAAACTGTAGTTTTTCAAAAGGTCCTGCTGCA